AGCCTCCTTGGGCAACCTGTGCCAGTGCCTCACCACCCTCTGGGTGAAAAACTTCCTCCTCATATCCAACCCAAACCTCCCCTGTAATGGTTTCAAACCCCTGCCCCATGTCCTGTCACCATCCTCTCCTCGTGGAATAGTCGCATTATCTATTTCCACACCCTCTATCAGGACTTTGTCCTCTGCACTACCCCCAGGATCCCAAAGGACACATAAGGAAAGAGAAGCTGCTTAGCAAGAGCAAAGCAGGCGTTCTTCCCTCCTGCAGCAGTTTGGGTACATGGGAGCCCTATGAGACCTACTGCTGGGGAGTTCCAGACCTCCTTGCTGTGCTGGAGGCTCTGACCCCTCCCTGGTTTATCTGTCCCTAGTAAAGGTGCAGTGCAGGCTGTTCAGGCCAAGAACCAGATCTGCATCCTGGACATTGACATCCAAGGCGTAAAGAACATCAAGAAGACAGACCTGAACCCCATCTACATCTCCGTGCAGCCTCCGTCCATAGACGTCCTGGTGAGCGGCCGCCTTCCTTTGCCGTTAAGCGGTTAGAGGTAATCGGCGTCTTGCTCTGGAGCCATGAGGGTTCCCCCCCTTTTGTTAAGGGAGATACACTCTTAGGGACTGGGGGAGTGGGGAAGAGGTTTCCAAGCACGCTGTTAGCTCTGCCCAGCCTGGGTCCCCGTGATCAATCTGTCCCAGCCCTGTTATTCATGTCTCTCCTGCACGGTTTCCATGTTGTCAGTGTGGTTGCTTGTGCTGGGTTATAAGCTCCAAACACATTACTTGTGCTTACACTGGGAGGTAAGCAGAGTTTGTGATGAGACTTGCTTCCAGTTATTGAAGTTAGACCTAAGGACGCTGTCTCTGCAGCACTGATAAACCTACACCCCTTCCTTCTTGTGTGGTCCTGAAGAGCAGTGATTGCTCTGTGCCTCTGGGAGAAGTGAATCCCTGTCGTGGTTCAGGGAGGAATGTAGGCATGAATATGCAAAGAAGAAGAGACTGGGAACTGGAGCTGTGGATCAGCCATCCACTGCCCAGACTGAGCTTGGGCACAGGTTTGGGCTGGAATTGAGGCCCCCAGCCTTCAGCAGAGTGTTATGTCACTCCCACTGTTGCTGACAGCAGAAGATATCTCTGCTTTGGTGATGGGATGGGGCATTTCCTGCATGCAGCATTTGGGGTATGCATTTCTTTAATGTATTTGTCATTGGGTTTAGGAAAAAAGGCTGCGTGACCGACAGACTGAGACAGAAGAAAGTCTACAGAAGCGTTTGACTGCAGCCCGTGTAGATTTGGAACTTAGTAAGTCTGGGAGTCTTTGAGCAGAGTGCCCAGGGAAAGGGGTGCACTGGGAGTGGAGGACCTGTTTTCTGCACAGACATCTGACTCTTCTTCTCAGAGGAATGCTGGCGGGGTTTGGGCATTAGCTGGGTTTGATCTAAGCATCATGCTGCATCATTTCCCATTGCAATTCCTTCAGGGTGTTTAGCAGAGAAGCGCATAAGCAGTGGCTGAAATGATGATAATAAAATGCTGCAGGAACTCAGGTCGTGCATGAGAGATGACACAGGAAAGGAGAGTGTTCTTCTGTAAGCCCTCTGTCCTTGTCTCCTTCACTAGGTAAAGAGCCTGGCCTCTTTGACTTGGTCATTATTAATGATGATCTAGAAAAAGCCTATTCAGAACTGAAGGAGCAGCTCCTGAAGGTGAGTCCTGGGGTGTTTTGCTGCCTTCTCCCTGGGTAGGCCTGGCTGAGCAGTCAGACCACAGCCAGCCACAGAAGTGTGCCCGCAGCAGATCCAGGTTGAGCTGCTGAATGGTGGTGGGTCTGCGGCCCAGGAGTGGGAAATGGATCCGGCTCAGTCCTGGACTGGTGGCAGAACAGGGGTGCACCTCTGGAGAGCACAGAAGGGGTGTGGTGTTGTGAGGAGCCTCTCAGTCACACCTTGCTGTGTTCCAAGGCCAGTGCTGACATGAGAGCCTCGATGCTATGATGCTGGGGCTTTTCTGTGGGGCTTCTGCTGAGGTGATTTCTTCTGCTCTCCACATCTGTGAAACCAGTGCTTCCCAAAAGTGATGGTGCTCAGTTGTTTTCCTGATCTTTTTGCAGGAAATCCAGAAGGCCCAAGAATCCAGGAAGTCCTGAGCCGAGCCTGCCTGGACGTTTTAACTTGATCACATCATTCCTGAGCCACATCACAGCATTTCATTCCAAGAGACATTCCCTTTAGGCCCATCCTCCTCCCATGTTATTCTAGGATATTTCTATTAAAAGGAAGGAAAACAAAACCTGCTCGTGCTCATGTTTCTGTTGGCCAGCTGCTTGGTGTGTGTGCTCTCCCAGGTTTGTACCTCAGGCAGATAATTGGGAAGCAATAGCACAGCACCTGCTGCTGGGGGCAGAGCTGCCAGCCTGGGCAGGAGCTGCAGCTGCTGGGCAATGTGGGCAGATGGGCACTCATCTTTGCTGGCAGTCAGTGTCACAAGCATTGACCTCCCTTTGCTCCCTCTGCTCTCTTCTGTGGATCTGCTACAACTCCTCTGGGCGTTTCTGATCATCTCTGCCTGCTCTCCTCAGGCTCTGTGCTGTTCTGGGTCTGTTGCTTTCACAGAGCAGCATGTCAGCACAGCCTGACTGCTCTAACCACAGTCCTTGTGAACAGATGGATTTGTTTAATAAGCTGAGAGGGGATGGGAGTAGTTGCAGGATATGATCTATCCACAGATATTTCTTTTTTTTCCTAGGAGAGAAGTACTGTGAGTTCTTCCTTCCCTCTGTTAGTTCGGCAGCAGTGTTGTAATTCAGACATATTTGTACCACTGGACTTTGGATGCAGGTAGATTTTTGGTTATTCTTATAGCTGCAAATGGGAGAAATTTAGAGAAACTGAAGCACCCTTATTGGGTGCTCAAAGTCCAACATGGTTGGTGAGAGCTGGGAACAGGGATGCAGCACAGCTGCTCACAGCCTGGCTGTCCTGGAGCCTCTTGTGGAGCACACAGGCATTTGGGTTTTGATCCTGGAGAGTTGATGAGTCCCTCAGTGTCCTGCAGGTGGTTGCTTCCAGCCATCTCCATAAGGGAACACAGACTGATGTGCAGTGCCAGGCCTGTTTGCACACCATGTCTTAGCAGGGCAGGCTTACACTTCTAACTCCTTAAGGTTTCATCCTCTTTATATCTCATCCTGGTTTACCCAGCTGCCCTGCTCCAGTCCTGCTCATGCCAGGTCTCCTTATGTACTGAACTCATGTTGCGGATGGCAGAAGGCAGAACCAGACCTTGAGCAACCTCTGCAGTACAGAACTTCCTTTTAGGAGGAAGTTTTTCCCCCAGAGGGCGGTGAGGCACTGGCACAGGTTGCCCAAGGAGGCTGTGGATGCCCCATCCCTGCAAGGCATTCAAGGCCAGGCTGGATGTGGCTCTGGGCAGCCTGGGCTGCTGGTTGGCGACCTGCACACAGCAGGGGGTTGGAGCTGGATGAGCACTGTGCTCCTTTTCAACTCAGGCCATTCTGTGATTCTATGAGCCAGACCTTGGGCAGTCCTTGCAGTACCTCACTAATGTTTAGAAACGTAACAGCTGGCAATTATTGTTTGCCTCTCCTGGGGTGTATCTGTCACGGATGAGAGCAAGCTCTTCCTTCTGTTGTCAGGAGTTCCATGCAGCAAGGTTACAAGTTTTCCTTAAGTGACCACAAAAACTCTTCTTGGGAGCATTTTGGGGTCGTACCTAATGCAGAGCATCCTGCTCTCCCCATCGTGGCGCTGAGCATCTCAGTTGCAATGGGGAAATTTCCCCTCTAGGTGGCAGAGATGACAGCAGCAATAACGCAGAGGCCCACGCTGCGAAGCAGCATAACGCGGAGGTGCGCGGCGCTCGCCCCAGTGCCGAGGTCCCCGTCCATCGCGTGGGACCTGCCCAGCTGCCACCAGATGGACGTGCCCAGCAACGTGCCCAGCCGGCCCGACAGCCCCGCGGTGCCCAGAGCTGGGCTGCCAGCCCCGAGCAGAGCCTGCGGGAGAGGTAAGCAGCACCCGGTGATGGGAGGTGACAAAGGCGATGCTGTGCCGGG